GTTCGAGGCGGAGGGCGTCTTGGGAGGCTGGAAGGGGTTCCATTTCAGACACTCCGGATCGATCTCTTTGTAGACGGGTCCTCGTCTCTTCACCCTCTCCTTGTAGTCGTCGATCACGTCCTGAAATTATTTCAACGGTTCTCCACCGGTTCGCTTCTCTCTTTTTTTTTTTTTCTCCCCCCTTCTTTGTCCCGGGACTCGACTTCCTCTCGTGGAAATCGTTCGTTTTTACCGAAACACCTCTCCAACAATCGCGTACCGGGGAAACGGTATCCTACACTTTTGATCCTTTGACGATTGACATTTCAACCCCGATTATACATTTCAACCCCTATTAGCATTTTACCTCCGCCAAGGCGAAAGACATCGAACGGAGGAGGAAAAGGGAAGGATCGTTCGTAATCATGCGCAATACCGTTTCCCCATTGCGTAGCGAGTTGTGCGGGGTTGTTTGATTCCCTTCGTGGATTCCCTGTTCAACGTAATTTATGCCCGTATAACTTATATATATATATATATAAGTTTGAACCTCGCCCGTGATTTCGTTACAAAATATTCGTGAACGATCCCTCTCTCTCTCTCGAGGTGGTCGCCATAAATCACGTGACACGATGACACGAAGCAGTTGAAAACGGGAAGGGGGAAACGCGAGACTCGCACGAGGGGAGAGGAGGAATCATCCCTCTTTCCGTTACGTCCTACTGGAAAATTAGAATCACAATGGACGACTTACCTGTTTCTTTAGAATGATGTGCTTCCCCTTCCAATACTTCATCATACCGAGGGCCTGCAGAGTGCTCACGATATCGTAGGAATCGATGGCCATCTCCTTGCTGATATCTGAAAGATATACAACACGCGAAAGCGCGTGACGAATGAATCGCCTTATTGAGGGTGGGGGGAGGGGGAGAAGGAAGGCTTAAATGTCTCTCGAGTACGATNTCGAGTACGGTTTCGGTTCCGCGCCGCCACTCTTAAAATAACGCGTCTTGTAAATCGGTCAAAAGCGTGCAAAGGCGTGTGCTCCGGCATGGCCGGTATTGTATTACCTTTGACGGAGAGTTCCTTGCCCCCGAAGTTGCAGAGGTACTGCAGCAAAACGTCCTTCCAGTAGCTGCGATACGAGATCAAGCCCAGATCCGACAGAGGTTTTTCGGGGGAGCCAATCTTTTTCTCCACTCTGGTCAATAAGTAACCTGCGCAAAACGTGTATAAACGTTGCATATCATCTATTCGTCTCGCTAGGAATTTGTTCCTACGTGATCGATGAGGGAACGTGGAGGGAAAGAGGTCAATAGACGACAGGTGAAACGTTCACCGATCGATCATCGCGAATATTCTAATCGATCGGACGATGACGTTCTCTCTCTCTCTCTCTCTCTCATCGTCGCGAGCCAATGAATTTCTCCT